AGCCCTTCTCCAGCTGGCTTTGAATGCTAATATTTTCTTTGAGTTTAATCTGTTTACCATGATATTACTATTAATGGTTTCATCATCATTTCTGCTTTCCCACCAGCTTTAAGGATGGAGTTTCCAGATGGGCAATCCTAGCTGTCAGCCATTTGTCCCTTACCTATGGCCACAGGCTACCAAGTGAGCCTTGTACCCGGTCATACCATCAGTCCTGTGGCAAGTGTGCCCTGGGCTCACCATCCTACATTTTGAAACCCTTTAAAACTCTTTAAATGGATGCTTTTGGTGCATCCACCACACTTGCCTAATGGCCTCAGGAAAATGAAAAGAAGAGGCTTTTGTGATGTTGTTAAGCAGCACTTGGCTGATGATATGGGCTGCTGGCCTCCACGTCCCTCTGCTCATGTTTTCTTCTTATTTCTCTGAAGGCTTTAAGTCAGGACAAGCTGAGACTGCTCCTGTTGGCAAAAACTAGCAAAAACTAGTCCTCCTTCGAGTTCAGCTGTTTGCTCTCTGCAGCTATTGCTCTGTGCCCTCCTGGCAGCAGGACCTTGGGGCATGTCAATCCCTTGCAGGACAGGACAATGTATTTTGTTCCTCCCTTTCACAGCAAGGCTGAAAACAGATGGAGAAGAGTGGGCAGCTGTGATCTTAGCTGACAGCCTTAGAGGAGCTTTGCTAGCCAAAAAGTCCAGGGAAGGGCAAGGAAATCTGCTGGCAAAAGTCAGCAAGGGACTCTCTCTCCAGATGCAAGAGTAGCAAAGGAATTACAAGTAACACACTGAAGGATGCAGAAAAAGTTACCCAAGTTATTTTGACCATAAAGCCCAGGATGGTAAAGACTCTGAACCTCTATTAATCAGCGAGAAGCTGGAAGAGGCCACGCAATGATCTCAGCTGCTGAAGCTGCTGTGCCCTTTTGCTCCCTTTAATTTAATTGTATTAGTGCTGCCCGCGGCCTTTGTTCTTCCGCCCTGCTCAGGAAATCTGCGGCTGGTTTTGGCAGGGCTGGATCTGGCTCCACACGGCTGGTTTGTGGACAGCCAGGAGGGACGAGAGGGAGGGCAGGAAGGGGAAGAGGATGGGAAATGATCCTGCGGGAGCAACCTGCTTAACGTGCCTCATTTGTCTTAATAGTGCCACCGCATCCCTTCCTGGAGAAACTTCCTCCTGATAAGCTGAACAGGCAAAATTGAATGCAGAAGGACTCCCACTGATAGCAGCAGAGATGAAATTTCATGCTTAAACCTTAAAAAAAAAAAAAAAAAAAAAAAGAAGAAGAAATAATAGTAAAAAAATAGTCCCTGTGAGCCAAGTCTTGTGCAGCAGGAACTGCCAACCCAGCAATCATTCCTACCCGCAGCCTTTGACTCAACTGAGGGGTCAGGGCATCTCGCCTTTAGCGGAGCTGTTCTCGTTTCTACCATCAGACCAGTAAGAAATAGGAATAACACCTTAACCCCAGGTCCTCCACTGGTTTGATTTGCAGAAAAGGGTCCAGTGAGCACAGCAGAGGGATTATCAGTGCCAACCCCCAGCTGTTTTCTCTGCTGGTGGCAATAGCATTGCTGTACCCCTTTGCCAAAGCACTGTTCCTCAGGGCTGTTGCAGGGTGAAAACCCTCCCCTGCTCTCCTGCTTCTTGCTGACCTCCTCCACACCACCACCACCTCCTTCCCACCCAGCTCGGCAGGGCTGCAGCTCCCTCCCAACCCCATCCAAGGCTGTGGGGAGAGTTTTCCCCGGTGCTGGTGAGATGGAGCAGCTCTAGCTGAGGATCCAGCAGCATCCTTGCAACTTCACCAGTTTCCCCAGCAAATGTGTTGCCTCCAGTCTCCTGTTGGCATTGGTGCAAGAATACTGTTGGCTCTGTCCACTGGTGTTTGTCTTTCCTGCTGCCAGAAATAATGATTCAGCACGTATGCACTGATTTTAGCACTCATGTCCCTTTCCATGACAGTGTAAATATTTGTGTGTCTTCGTATAACAGGAAGACAATGTGTGCAGTCCCTCACCTACCCAAGCAACCCTCACAGGGGGTTCAGAGGTGATGATGTGTCAGGAAAACCACCCTGTGCTCCTGCTGCTTTGTAGACCAGTTGCCTTTCACTGTAGGAGTGGGAGGATGCGTCCCACTGATGCTGTACCAGAGGGGTGGCTGGGGAGGTGTCGTTGTGTGTAATTCATGGGTTGTAATGGAAACATCAGAAAAAAAGAAATGAAGATACATCAGAAAAAAAATAGTGACCTGCTGTGTCGATATGTCATTTTTATGACTCTTGATTTCACTTCATCTTTCTTAAACAAGCAAACAAACAAATGCAAGAGGTGGTTTCCTGGACACAGGCGTGTTATCTCCAATTCCAGAGTTCGTCCCTGCCGGAGGACGAGATAGCGGAGCAGCTAACCCGAGGGTGTGCCTTCACCTTTCCATCAAGGAATGATAATACTTAATATGTGGAAAAAGATGAAGCACTTAGAGAAAGCTGTGGGCAAGAAAAGAGATTTTCAGGCAATTTTGAACACTTCAGACTTGTTTGGGAAACATGATTTTGAACTTCATATTTTACTGGATTTCTTGGACTTAGAGTCCAACTGTACAAAATGCCACAAATCCAGCGTGGCAAGTCCAGGTTTTCCCAGATGCATAAACTGTCAGGGTTCTCCTCTCCCTTTCAGAGCGATGAATTAGCAGTTGTAGGCTTGCACTGAAGTAGTGCATCATCTGCTTGCTGGTTTTATAGGGGATCCTTTCCTTATTGCTTGCTGTAATTCTTCCTGGATCTGAAAAGTAAAATATATTTCTGTTGGCATGTGGGATTCTGGAAAACCTCAACAAAAGTAGGAGTGGAAAGGAAGTTTTCTGTCCAATGAAATTTTTTGTGATGCATTTTTTCCATATCAGAATGAAAGCTTGAAATATATAAATCCCCCCCAAAAAACCATTAAGCCAGCTGTAGCTACTTATTTTGATTATTTTATCCTTTCTGTTTTGTTAGTAAATTTCCTTTATATTGCAAAGTAGAAATTCCATATTTCTTGGATAAAAATTTGATGCCACGAAGTTGATTTCAGTAGTTTGGGAACTGTTTGGCAGAGAATTTTAAATCAGAAAGTGGTAATCTTCTGTGCTAAAAATAAAATATGACGATGCAGTAAATGACTAATTTTGTGGTCTGGGGTAATTAGCTGAACAGTTTGGCGGATGGAAAGCAGCAGGTCTAAATTACTGTACTAAGTCCATTTGCAGGAAGATACTATCTGACTTTGTTGTTATTAATAATAATTAATGAGAATTAAAATATTCAGCTGGGATTTTTGCTGTTGCCATTAGCAGGAATACTTGTGTGTGTGTGTATATAGATATATAAATATATATATATTTGCTCTTTGATGCTTTTCTCAGTTGTTTGCATCTCAATCCTTGACTGTCTTACTCTAGGACTTTAATAATACTCCAGATATTGTTCAGACCATGCTTTTGTCTAGCACAGAGGAAACTTGAGGCTTTTACAATTAGTGCTGCTGGTTATTTCATGAAAAACATAAACCATGGTCTGACAAGGAAAGCAGCAGTTACAGGTCGGGCAATAAGCAGTCCTGTATCAGCGGGCTCGCAGGGAGCGTTGGCTGGTGGCCTGCTGCTCGCTTTTGCATCTTGTTTTTGCAGCACAGGTTACTGGGGATTGCCTCCGAGTCTGCACGGACCTGTGCAGCTCCGATGACTTCTCTGGTGAAATCCTGGCACTATTTTGCTAAAGTCCAAACAAAGTGCTTAAATTTTGATGCCCCTAAGACAGAATGATGGCCTCTTAGTCTTGTGCCCTCCATGTCACCAGCCTTTGGTGTTGCTGGGCATTCCCACTCTAAATCTGCATCCTACAGTAGGTTTTAACCACGTATTTTATGAAAACCTTCAACTAACAGGGTTCCCACAATGGAGGAGACTTTTAAGGAGCTGGTTTAGTGGATAATTGCTCTCACTGTTAAAAACAAAACATCCCTTTGTTTTCAGCTCAACTCTCCTCAGTTTCAGTCTTCCAGCCCTGGACTTTGCTCCACCTGTGTTTGGCAGTTAAAGCCCTTCAGAGTCTGAGATCTTCCCACATTCCCTTAAAGACTAGGAGGAGTCATTTCCTAATCTTCTCTTTTAAGAGGACAGAGATAATTGAGGACTTATTATTGACTGTATTGACTTTTACATGGTTAGTGTTTGGGGTTTTTAGATAAGTTGTAATCATTCCTTGTTATCATTGTATAACTACTGTTAATAATTGCTGGGTCACTGTGTCTAAGCCTAAGGATGTGGACCCACTTCTGTTAAAGATCCAACATTTGGGGCTCTGATGGACAGTTGAAGAGGTGTTGATTTGGTTTTGGGCGCCTTTGGAGAAAAGTAGGTGCATCAATCAAAGTGCTATTTACTCACGTCCTCAGAAAGTTTTGTAAATCCTGTTTGTTATTTTTAGCAGCTCCTTTTCAAGTGGTATTGTATCTCCGGTGGTTTCAGTTCTGGTTGTAGGCTAGGCTGTATTCTGCCATCCTTAGTCATCTTGAGTGCTTTCTTCACTTGACCTCATTTGATTTCGCTGAGAAATTTCAAGGAGTGAGATGATACTTAGATGAATGTAGTTGGGGATTAGATGGATCCTAACAAGCAGAGGCTGTGCTTTCCGTGGGAAGATTTCTAAGCTGCATTAAACCCAGAGAGGCTCTTTTCCCCTGGTACTTACAGATTTTAAAGCATTGTATTATAGCCTATTAATAATACAAATGATAAACTATCTTGATGACAATAGCCATCTTTTGGAGAAATTTCAAACCGTGGTCATATCCAAACCTTGCGTGAAATTATCTGAGCTCTCTTATAGCCTTATGTACTGCAACTCAAGGGTGATTGTTCCTCATCCAGGTGCCCAAGCCTTTGCAGGATGGAGGTTTTGTTTATGTCTTGTTTATGATATTTATCCATTTACCTGTATTTTTTTCCATTTGCAGCCTTTTTGTTCCTACATATGTCGGGCTGGTGGGAAATCTCATAAATACTGTGATAGCAATGGTTGGGATCCCTTTGCAGGCTAAACCAAAGTCAGACCATCGTGTGGCAGAGCATGGTATGTATTTAGTATTTCTGATAAATAGCAGGTGAATAGGGATGGGGGATTGACATGCTGTAAGGACTGCTAAGGGACTTGCATTTAAGGGCAGAAAGGTGCCAGCTTGGAAATGCTAACACTTGAATGCCTAAGCTGTGCTTGTGGAGGAGTATTATTCCCTATGTGTCAACCCCTCTGCCTTGCAGAATTGCAAGCTTCCAGCTCAGTGCTTGTGGACCCCTCACTGGGGGTTACTTTGGCCCAGCATGGGAGGCAATCCCATTGTCACACAGCACCCTCTGTAAGTGGACCTGGCACCAGCTCCCAACCTCCTGCCATCAGCAGAGAGCTGGTGCTGCAGAGATGCGCCTTTTTGGAAGGGTGGTGGGGTTGAACCAGAGGAGACAATCTCAGAGTTTCTTGCTTCCTACCTCTAACCTGTATAAATAGAGTATTAATCAGTATGTCATCATCTGTAGGCACATCACAGTCTGGCAGCGTGTTTAGCATCAGAGAAATCCTACGCCTGATGAAGTTTCCAGGAGTCATGGAAGTTTTCATAGTCAAGGTTTTTTCTGGACTTCCCATAGGTAAATCTCACCCATTACCCATGATTGCTGATGTATTTAAAATAAGATGACACACACTGTAGACTAGGTTTGTCTCAATTTACTGAGGATTCAACTCCTAACTCGATGCTGGATGCTTTCAAATGCTCTCAGATCCACAGGGTCAAAAGCCTGGGACTTAATGTAAAACAGACTACTTGTCACAGCTGCTGCTGCGACTTTTGGCAAATCACTTAATCTCTCTACACCATCCCCCTGGCTGTAAATGCTTTTTTCCTCTTGTCCGTCCTTTCTGTTTAGGCTGTAACCTCATCATCATTTGTGCTCTACCAGAAATGCTGAGGTCCTTCCTGATGTTACTTAATGATTTTAAGGGGTATGTGTACCTTAACCTTTTTCCCAACAACTAAAAACTAGTGCTGGATGAGAGAATGTGGCTGCTCTAACTGTTGATTGCCCTCAGGGGAGCTGCAGCATATTTCTTCCCTTGCACATTGATGGTTCTTGTTCTTCTCTTTATATATTCTACTCATTTTTTTGTGTCATGGTAGGAACCCACTGCTACCTCAAACCCATCCCAAACTTGCCTGCTTCGCTTCTCCCTTTGAGTCAGTTGCTGTCCTGGCACAGTCCATGTTTCTCAATTTTCCTGCTTATACATATCCTTGGCCATAATTTAAGAATCTTTATTTTTGCCTACCCTCTAGCTTGTTTCCCCTGGCTGGTCTAGAGACAAGCCAGCATGTCATAGAACCATAGGATGGTTTGATTTGGAAGGGACCTTAAAGCTCATCCAGTTCCAACCCCCCTGCCAGCAGCAGGGACACCTTCCACTAGACCAGGTTGCTCAAAGCCTCATCCAACCTGGCCTTCAACACTTCCAGGGAGTGGGGCTGGAAGCCTTGTTAGGGGTGGTGTAAGGACAGGGTGATGTTCTCTGCCCTTCCACATAGAGAACCTTCATGGCTTTTTTCCTAGTTAACTAAAAGTGCAGTTTCTCTTGATTATGGTTTCAAGGATTGAATTTTGTTCACATCAAAACACGTGCACATCATGCATCTGAACAAACTAAGGCTCTTCCCTTCCAAACAGGGATCCTAAGAGAGGATTTAGGGCACTTTAGCTTTTATACTTTGCATCTTTTTCCAGTTCATCTGTGTCTGGAGAAGCCCTTGAAGTTTAAATAATGTGAAACATAATTTACAAATTAAATTCTAATTTGTAAACTATAAATTCAGTTTACAAATGAAAGTAGATTTGGCTGTGGAGAGTGGCTGAATCGGAAGGGGATGGCATTTCTGGGCTTGGCCAGGTTCATCTGCTACTCCTTGTTAAGGCTCTGGGGGAACAAGTCCAACTGGAGTTGTAGAGCAGCATGCAGGGAAGTAAAGGATTTCTGATTATTTATTTTTTTTCTTTTTGTGTGTAGTTGGCATTGGCTGAGATCAGTGATGCCAGTTGGGGCCACCCCCACCACCAGAGACAGGACACACTCTCGATGCACTGCTGGCTTGCCCTAACACCGTGCTTTTTTTGGTTCCTATGAAACTAAATTTTTAAAACTGTATTTTAAAAAGTGTTTATAAAATGACAGCATTTCACAGAACGAGACAGTCAAGTGATTTATTAAGAGGTTTTTCTTTGCTGATTCTGGCTTATTTCTCAGCTTAAAGGAGCATTAATTTCTCTGTTTAAGAACTCCTGAGTCTGCATCCATATGCAATCTGCACGGTAATTTCCTTTTTTCAAGCACTGGGCAAGATGCACTTTGTTTTAGTCATCCCTGCTGAAATGCAGATTCCTCTCTGTTGCAGAAGACATTCTTCTTTTCCCCTGCACAGCAAAAACACACACCCAAATAAATAAATAAACATCTTCTACCCAAAACTGCCAGAGAACTTCTAGGCAAAGAGGATGGAGACAGTGAAGCTGAGATTTAAGGCAGGACTTACGGCTGGGAGAATTTCAGTGAGAGTAGGAATGGGTTCACCTAAGGCACTGCTGCTACATGAATAGTGCTTGCAGTATGGTGAGGAGTGATTAAAATCCTAGGAACTTCTCTTTGCAGGTCTTTCTTCAGGTTACTGACCATACCATGGTAGCTGAAAGGGAATTTGTCCATCACCTACTTCTCTGCGCCTCACAGCTGGAGGCTGAGCTCCTCATGAGCTCATTTACCTTTCATCTCCTGGCTACAACTGTATAATTAATTAGATCACCCAAATTACAGACCTTTCTCTATTTACTTTGTAAACAAGTTTGTGATATACACAGAAGAAAATCTTCTGTTCATTATGGATCTTATTGTTGTCTAAAATTAGCTTGTTTGAGACTGAAAGAGCCTCCCTGGGAGGGCTGCAGGGCTGGGAACCTCCTCCTTGTTGCATAAAAGCAGAGCCACAGGCTCTGTGCCCCTTGCAGGAGGGAGGTTGCCAGGGGATGGACGGGCAGCAGATCACTCCAGCATGGCCAAATTACATCCTCAACTGACCTGGGAAAAGCGAACCTCATTGCATTGCGGTAGATAAGAGATAGAAAATAAAACATGAGGATAAAAATGTAAAACACATCTTTTACTGACTAGAAATCAGCAGAGGCTTGAAAATACTGATAAATAGCTGCTTGTATGAATCTTTGGCTGCCTAATCCCTTTGGAAAACTTGGTTTCCAGGTGATTGCTTTAGCACTCACATCCCGTTTTTGAAGGGACTTCCTTTCACACGCAGAGCAGGATTTTACAGTGGGCCCTGGGGCTCAGCGTCCCATCGCATTTGCAGTCCAGCGTAGGAGGGCTGAGATGGGCTCCCAGAGGCCACACTCGCCTTTTTACACACCAGCTCTGGGTAAGGATTGCTAAACTGGCCCTCCCAAAGCCGTGGGCTGCTCTTGGAAATGTCCTGCCTTTTTTTTTTTTAAAACACGATTCATACTCCTGTGTCTCCTCGGTGCTTTTCCTCATCTTTATCGCATCTCACAAACTATTTACCTGCCTTCTGATTACTCCTTGCCCCTCCAGTGCCAGGTTTTCTAAGGAGTTCACCCCTTATTCAGACCTGCCTGAAAAAAAGGTGAGGTTTTTGAAGATATTTTTTGCTATTTACCATTTTTTTTCCTCTTGAAAACCTGAGCCTCTCAGTGTGGATTGAGCCTTATCCAGGCAGTTCCTGCATGGGAATCTGGTGTCCCCAGAAGAGCCTGGGGACCATCCACCCCAGTGAGCCTTCCCCAGGGTAGGTAGATTACTCACGTGGCTGCATTGAGCTGCAGCCTACCTATATGGGATCTGCTAAGCTCTTTCTAATAAATTCTTGTTCCATTGAGCATAAAATCTTTTGAGGTCAATCTGGGACTCACGTTGTGAGTTCCACCAAGAAATGTGTTGCCAGTGGGAGAGACCCCCTTAGTCACTGAAAGAGGAGGGAGCAGGGGGTCTCCCTTGTCCAGGCAGCTTTAAGTGACGATGCAGGCAGGGAGGGGGTTGACACCCATCTAAAGAAGAGACCTTTGCATCTCCAGAGGAGCAATGCAATGTGTAACGCTAATTAGAGAACACAACCTATCCCCCTGCTCTGAAATAAATGGGCTCATTTGGAGGAGAAAGATCCAAATCTGCATTAACTCAGTGAGGGACTTCAAAGGGGAGAGGAGCTGTAGAATCTGGCGCGTGGTAGCAGGAAGAAGCGTCAGGTATGTAGGAGGGTCGAGCCCCTCCTAGGTGGTACCTGCAGCGGGGTAGCAGGATGAAGGGCGAGCGCCCGCTTCGATCTGATCTTCCTTCAAGTGAAACGAAGTGTGGTTTTTCTTTCATTTCTTCACATGTGCCTTTTATAAACATGTGCAACCCTCTTGCCTGGTTTGGATGTTGTGAGTAAATACTGTGATTTGCATGTTACCTTAAGCTGGCTTGAGCTAAGAGTGATTTCAAAGTAACTGGGTACAACAGGGTGCTCTCTGCAGAGGGGTGTGGTGAAGCCATAAATCCTGATGAGCCCCAGCTCCCCAGCACCTTCTCCAAATATCCAGGGAGTAGCAGAGTGGGGAGCCTTTCCTGCCCCCCATCCCTCTCCCTCATGGCCATGAGGCCAGCAGGGGTGCAGCTATCCCCATTAAGGGGGGAAGAGGTACCTCCAGTGGGGTTCAGGAAGATTTTGTGGCCTGGGGTGGGAGGGTGGTGGTCCCTCAAGGCAAAGGGTTGGGATGCTTAGAGGGAGATCCTCCTGGCTGCAGGTGCTGCACTGGTGGCAGCGCCGTGGGGCTGCTGGATGTGGTGGAGTTGTGCTGGTCTGTTAGGGTGCGAGTTCTCCACGGTGTTTTAGGCAGCTTAGGGATCGCTCTCCTCATGCTTCCAGGAAACACCAGCAAATCCTCCCCATGCTGCAGGGTTGGTGACTCCCTTTGCCAGGCCACAAGCTGTCTTCTCAGTCCTCATGTGTTGCCTCCTGAGCTGTGTTTTCTTCAGGAAAGGGAGGACCACAGCTCCACATCTACCCAGTCTTTGTACTTCAGAGGATCCTATGAGGAAGGGCAGGACCCCTAAAGGTCACCTGCTCTCTTCTCCTCTCCTCAGCAGGATCATTTGTTCCCAAGAGACACGTTGGGGGAGATATCCACGTGCAGAAAACCCCAGTTTCCCACTGTCTTGTCCATCTGAGGTGCACAAGACATTGTGGGAGGCAGCAGCCCCCTACCCCATACCAGCTCTTTGAGAGCAGTGTTTTGTCATAATATTTTTAATTTGGTGGCTCTTTGTGTACAGTGGGAGGTTGTGTATGTGTGTCAGTATTTGTGTGTGTTTGGCATTGGGGGAAGCACACACCATTGTATTTTCATGTGAGATTGAGTGAGTGGACATTTTCCGTTATGCTTTGCAGAAATTGCCTTGCCACCAACGTCACTGCCGAGGTGTGCAGTGAAACCACTCTATCTAGGCTAATGTCACCGGGGTGTTTCCCAGGCAGCTTTCCTCATGGTGAAAACCTAAAGTCAGGCAAAAGGGGCAAGGAATCCAATCAGATTATTTTTATGGTTACAGTCTTGTCTGAACAAATGTTTTCTCGCTGCCTTAATGGTTAGTCTGGCTTTGGCAATACAAATATTTACCAGTTTATAATAAACAGCTGAATCTACAGCCTACATAGTCACATTATTTTAAAGATGAAAGTAAGGGGGATTTAAAAAGTCAACATTTAAAGATTAAATTACTACACTGACTTTGAATAGGATTCTGCTCGTGTTTATATCCAGTACTGGTAACCCCAGGGAGAGCTACTGACTCATACTGGGGGTGACTGGGAGCAGGGTCTGGGCACCTATATGCAGTGCAAGTATATTGATGTATGCTTTTCACCAACCCTCCCTCTAGGCTTGTTCCTGATTATGTTTTCTATCATCTCTATGGATTTCTTTGGCCTGGAAGCAGTGGAGTCTGGATACCTGATGTCATATTTTGGTGTCCTTCAAATGGTAAGTGAAGTGGAAGTCCCCCTCTTGCCACATTGCTATCTGATTTTCTACCTTTTTGACACATGGTTTCCCAAATCCAGGCATAATATTGACAGGCAAATCTTAGCTCTGCCACGTGGCACTTGGCTTCAAAGAATAGAAGTGACTCCAAATTTATTATTTTCCTTGGAATGGGAAGAAATCAGAGCAAGGAGTGTCCTGAAAGCTGTCTTCCCTTGTCCCTCCTTGCAGATCTGTAAGCTGCCAAAAGGAGCTAAAATTTCTTTGGGCTAACGTGTTGCCCTGGTTTTTGTAACAAAACTTACCCTGAAGCTAAAGTGCTTCAACTGAAGTTTTCGCTGGTGCAGGTTGTAAAGGTGATTTACACTTACTTAGTAGCAGCCTGTAAGTTAATGTTAGTAGACGGTTTTACTGGCATTTTCACAGCTGCCTGCAGTGTGGAGGAAGGACTGGTTTCTGCTGTCTGGAAACAAGCACAGTGAGCTAAAAAAAAAAGGTAATGTTACATGATTAGGAGGACACTTGCAGAATGGGTAAAAGGGGAAAATCAGCTGAATTAGGCAGTAGCAGGGCCAAAAAAATAATATGGTGTATTATAGCTGAATTTTCCTTTTGGAGGAAGAAGCTAATAATTTCACAGAACAAGCAGCAGATGGTTATAAGCAAGCCTCAAGGTAGGAATGCAAGTTAAGCAATATCCTGAAGGAGGGTGGTCTTGTTATTAAATCCGCCTTCATTTCCTGGGCATTGCCACAGAGTTCCTGTGGGATCTGGAGGAGCATCTCCTCAGGGAAACAGCAGCTTTAGTCCCTTCCCATGTGATTTGGATTTGGCACAGTGATACCAGTCACCTGGGCTCTGCTCTTGGTCTCTCCAAATCTGGGTGCCTTGGTAGAGCAGCTGATGAGCATGGCCATACATCAAGAAGTGGAGTCTGCAGAGTAATCCGGCTGGAGCCAAGGAGCTGGTGCCTTTGCCACGATCCATTGTGGGAGGGTGGCTTTGGACTACCTGTCGCTCAGTCCCATGAGCTCAACACCTGCTACCAGCTGGATGCAAAGAAGGAAAGAAAGAAAAACAGTTTGCTGCTCCACAGCATGGAAACAGCATGACAAGTGGGGTGATCATTAGCTGCTTTCCAAAGCATCCTTCTGATCCAACCTCCACTGCTCACAGAGGCTTTGCATGCTGCCTCCTAGATCAGGATCTGCAGGAATCACTCAGGTTTTAGAGGGGCTGAGTCACACTCTGATATCTTCTTTCCTCTTTGAACATAGAGGGACTCCCCAACAACTGTGCTCTTAACTTAGACACACCAGTTAAACCCCTCGTAGGTATGTCTACACTGAAATTGAATCTGGGGCTGCAGCACGGCTGTGGGTGCTCGTTTAGAGCTGGGTAATGTGGGCAGCAGTAGCACTTGTACATCTGGGACAGGAGTGGCTTTGTGTTGCCAGATGGAGCTTGGATGCTGCTGTTAGGTCCAGGATATCTCTTCAGGACACTGCTGTTATGTCTGAGATATCTGTCTGTCTTCACTGCTATTGTTTTCCAGGTTAGTTTGGTTGAAACTACTCTAGCTAAGGTTACCTGCACTGCCGTGTTGGTGCACCCTACATATAGATACAGCCCTGGAAGATATGGGAATTACAGCGTTCACTCTGCTTCCTAAGGGATAATCAGATGTCAGTGCTAATCAGGGACCTGACCCTTCCCATAGTCACAGGGTTTCATCCTGCAGAGGCCACTCATACCTGCTACCACAGGGACCCACAGGCTCAGGTGTAGCATCGGCTGTGCTGGGGAGTCTTTGCCTCGGGACATTTGGCACAGAAACTGGCTTTTGTCAGCCAGGCAGCTCTTTCATCTATCTGTGCAGTTTCTGTCTGTGTTGCTACACATATTCTATAGTGCATGACTTTGGGCATCAGAGATATAGGAGTGAAGTGGTCATAGGGTACAAACTTTTCTTCAGGATGGTACATTGGGGTTTGTGTCAGAACACCAAAAAGGAAAGGGGAAAAGAATGCTTTCTTTTTTTTAAAAGCCCAGGACACCTGATTCCTGGTGGGAGCAAAGTTGTCTTGCCCAAGAGCTTGCAAAGCACCACTTTCTGCTTTGTCACTTGTTCTTTCCACTTTACCACTGGCTGTTCCAAACTCTGCTCTGGTTTATGCAGGACCAGATGCTCAACTGGTCCAAATGATTCTCTCACCGTCTGGCTTTTAAATTATTGTGAAACAGTAGAATCTGTGTCTTCACTTTCAGATCGGGTCTCTGGTTAGCACCGCCCAGAGATACCTCTTGCAGACCATGACTGGGTTAATGTTTTATGTCTGGTTTCTGTTGGGGTTCCTCCAGTGGAAGATGTGTGCAGGGAATGCAACGTGTGCCAGCTCTGTCCTGCCGAGCCCCAGAGCTGCTTTGTGTGCCTTCATCTTGCCTAAGCTGGCATTCCAGATGCATTTGTTTCTGCTGTACAGTGAATTGATACTGCTGGAGATATAAATGCAGATTAAGGTGCAAGCAAATTCCACCAGTCTGGATGGGTGAATGGTGATTAATATCTGCTGACTGGCTTCCCCACTTCACTGAGTAAATTATAGCTTTGTTCCTAAGGAATATAATGTCCTTTTCAATGAATTTCAGCAACCAGATCCTGAGCTTTGATTTCTCATTCCTTAGTTTGCCTTTCTATAAAACATTGTGAGGGTTCTCCCATTCTTCTGGACTTGCTTTGAGCCTTCCTGTTAGTGGAAACATGTCCCACTATTTGCATCTCTCCCTGGACCTGAAAATGGGTCATTTTTAAGGACTTTTATAGACGGCAGCAGACATCACAGAAATGAAGGGGAAAAGAAGAATCAAACCATGTCCTGTTTACTTTAAACCTCCCTGCAGACACTGAACACAGTGCCTGGGCACACATTGCATGCACTCAGCAGCTCCAGAGATGCACAGGGAACAGCACAGTGAGCAAGGCTTTGCCAAGCCCTTTACTCAGCTCTTCCCTGAAAGTCATATGCTGACAAAAGCATTGCCTGGTCTGTCAACTCCTGGCAATTTTTAGTCATATTATTTCTTTGTGTTGTTCTAATTTTTATTTTTTTAATGAAATCTTCTCAAACTGAACATCTTCCTCTTGCACAGAAGCTGATGTTGCAGCCCCCTTTCCCAGCCTGACCCACAATCTCAGGATGCCTCAAATAGCAATGGTCTCTTCCTGCTTTCCTCTCTCACCCCAAGGATATTATGCTCCAATTGCTTAACCTAATTTTTCAGCTTCTCAGCCTCATTTAACCTACTGTGGTGAGAAACAGCCAATGCATTGTAAACATCTCTTGTTTCTCACCATTCCTCCCATTCAAGCCAGCTGCAGAGCACCTAGAGAGGAGATTTCGTATGGCTTTGGGTCAGTCCACCTAATTTTAAGTAGAGAACTCAAGTACTTTACTGTCAGTATCTCAAACAGCTCTTTGCATGAGGAGATCAGCACAGAAACACCTACCCCATGGGAGGTGAGGTGTTTGCTACCTCTGCCCTGCTAATTCAGGCAGCCCTTCTGAGGGATGCCATCCAGAGCAACTCAGCCTCACCTCTTCACGCTTGGTGCCATCTTGTCTCTTTATGAGCCTGCAGGATCCCAACCAACATTTGCCCAGCCTGAGAGGATCCCTGTGGGTTTGGAAGGCGGATTCAGGGCTGGTTTTTGGACCCCAAGAGCCTCATGAGCTTTGACAAGCCACTCCACAGAGCACCTCTCTTGGTTGCTCCCTTGCTGAGCATCAGCTCTGCCCACATGGGAACAGTTCACAGCACTTGCCAGCAGTGAGGTGGCTCAGCTGGTGCTGGTGGTGGGTTTTGTCCTTGCAATGCCATGCATGTACCACCAATGACCACTGCTCATGGCATAGGGCTTCCTCAGCATGCTCTTCCCATCACCAGGTTGGCTGCCCACAGCATGGTCACCCTTTGGAACTTCTTGCTGCCACTCATACCCCTGCACAGAGGGATGTAGATTGCCTTGCTGCTGCTCCAGCCTGTCTTACGGAGACCTGAGTGGCCCAAAGTAATAGATCTGCTGATGTATTTTTGTAAAAGTTCCGGGTCCACAGGGAACGGGGGCTTCCCAGCTCTCTGGGTGAAGCACTGGCCCAGGACCTGGCACTAATTTGCTGTTTGTGGTCAGTCAAAGAGCATCAGTTGATAGCAGAGGATATTGGAAAGTGTGGGGCACCTTAAGCACAGTGAGGGTGGGAAGGGGGCTCGCTTCTGGGTTGGGACAGAGCCAAAGGAGGTCAGAGAAGGGTGTGTGGGAGGCATCATCGTAGCATTGGGACAAAGAGCTGTCTGATGAGGAAACAAAGTCGTTGGTTAGAAAATGGAATATGACCAAGGCTGGATCAGGCTGATGGGGAAGTGAAAATAGCAAGTGGGGGATAATTTGAGCAATTCAGGGTTCTGCAGTGATACTTGAACGGCCCCGATAGTGTGGGGCTGGCTGATGAGCTGGGACTGTGCCAGGCTGAGTGGAGGAGGGGCAATCAGGTGGGAGATAACGAAACGAGGAGGGGAAGGCAGACAGGAGGAGGGTACCTCTGTGCCGGGCATCTTGCCTTGCAGAGATAGACTTGCTCATGATATGTTTGAAGCATCTTTATCTGATCGCCAGTGGGTCTCCAGGCAAGAGCTGTGAGAGCCCGTCAGGGACACAATCCCTCTGTCCTCCAGGGCTGGGCTTCCAGAGTCCTCTCATCCCAGAAGCCACGTGAATGCAATTTCCCTCAGAGTGAATGCCTGGGAGTGCGAGATGCCATTCAATCTCCCTCCAGAGAATAATTAATTTCATAATAATTTAAAATAATTTAATTTTGCATAATGAGCAAATGCAGGCCTATACTCCAGCTTTATTTGGAGTTGCAAGCGCAATAGCATGGAGAACTTCCAGGCATAGTGTCTAGCTTGGAAAATGCCGCCGGAGGATTAGGCAAGTGAAATACCTGGAGTCCCTGGTTGGTATCTAAAGTCACATCTGATGCTTGGATTTCAAACCACAGGAGTGGGTGGGGGAAGCTTTCCTTTAAGAACTTTTTCTTCAAAAAACCAAAGCAAAATGCACCAAACAAAAACTCCGAGTGGGACAAAGGGGGAGATATTTATTACCCTGAGGATCAAGAAATCATAAGACGTCTGTTCTATTTACTGCCTTTAAATTCGTATTGTTATACAAACTCCACCTCTAGCTGTGCAGCTTCTGGAGGGACAAGTTGGTACGGAACAATCCTGAAAAGATGAGAGAGATTCCTGGAGGAGAGATTTACATTGCGTATCATCTTATCACCAGTCTGTCCCTCTTGCTTTTTTTTTTTTTCCCCCTGCACAGCAAAAGAGATGATTAAAGAGCGGAGGATTTAATTACAGCCAGGTATGCCTAAGGGGAAAACCCACTCGGTGAAAGGACCTTGCAACAACAAACAGAAAGTTCTCCAGTTTCCTGGCTTTGAAGGATTTAAGTCTGTGCTGTGGAGGGGGGCAGATTGGAGGGGGAAAGAAAGCGATTAGGCTGGAGTTTGCAAAACACGAGGTCCTTTCCCCTCTGTTTGGCAAAGTGCTGCCTTCAGCAGTTCGGTCCTCACCACCAGCTCTCCTTCCAGTCCCACCGCCCTCTTGCTCCTCTGCAGGACCTGAACTACTTCTCAAGGGCTTTCTGGCATCGCTGTGTCAATAAAACACCTCCCTTCCCCCTGCCCAAGGCTTTGCACACCTTCACCCCATGCAGAAGGGCCTTATGGTCTTTGTTGCCCCCTTCGCTCTGCCCCAGCTGGTGCTGCACTCGCCCTGGGAACTGCCAGCCAGGCACAATATCAAAGGCAAGAGATACGGGTCCGGGGCGTGGGAGGCTGCCTCTGATGTGACTCATGCTACCTGCACTAGGGATGGGGCCCTGCATCTTCTCTGCGAGGCTGTACCCGCTTATCTGACCTGCTGTGCCCGCCTCTCCAACCTTCTTGTGCCTTTTCATTTCCAGGCTGTTGGATCAAAGGGAATTTATTTTGTTGCTGGGCTCTGTCAGGCTTTCGATTGGTGCTGATGGAAGATTCTGTAGAAACAGTCTTGTGTATGATGAGTGTGGTCAAGCACAGAGGACCCGTTGAGTATCTGCCTAGCTCCTCCAGCCTTCACAGATGGGGTTATCTACTTGTGGTGCCAGTCCTGTTCAGCAGCAGCTCCACGCAGCAAGGCTGCTTCTTTGCCATTCAAAAGTCTTTGAAAAATGAGCACCTTCAACCTTCAAACAGCAAAAATCTGCTCGGGGATGCAAGAGCTTTCTGAAATTTGTTAATAAGGTTACCAATGAAATGGGTAATGGGCTCTTCTGAGCAAACGGGAGCTGCTGCCTTCTCAGAAATCAAACGCGGTGATAGAGGTAAAGAGTATTTTTCTACGTGATCAGCTGAACTGGTGTAACAAAGTCCCAGTTTGGTGAACCCAGCATAACGACAAGGAGAGATCTGGCTGTTCTTATGCATTTATTGGGAGACTTATTTGCCTTTAAAGGAGGAAGGGGGGAGGAATAAAAAAAAGATGAGTTGGTTTTTCCTGTGACATGTGTACACAGCCACGGGCAGTGCATGTTATTTCACTTGCAAACAATTTCCTCTCTCTTTTGTTTATTGATGACAGAAGGCATTCCAACCAGGTACACTGGCTCTTCCCCGACTTCAAAGGAGGTGAGGTTACAAAGGCAAGCACCATCCAGGCAAAGCCAACTGCAGGAGGGGAAGGCCCTTCACAGCAGATCTCAAGGTTGGAGGTTGTGTGCAAGGGAAAAGCTCAGAACGTGACAGCA